ACTTCTTCAAAATAGACTCGCCCAGGCCGAAAACCGACTTCTGCGCATGGGCCACGAAGTTTCAATCGCACTGTACGTGCGCGCCCGCACGTGGTATTTTGTGGAAGAGCCACACTCAAGGGGCCAAAGAGCCGCATGTGGCTCGCGAGCCGCAGTTTGCAGACCACGGGTCTAGACAGATACGTTTTGGCCCACCTTATGCCCTCAGGAGAGCTTCCTAAAAGTGAAAATATTGGGTTGAAACATGGCATAAACATTCTAAGCTTCTTAACATATAAATTAAATATTTTTCAGGACTTTCGTATTCATTTATATCCCATTATTATAGCCCATCTGTCTCAATGTGTCTCACCGTAACTTTGCTAGTGCTATTAACATTTCAAAGTTTTGCCAAAATGATTCACAAAACAAAATATTTCTCTCTTTTTTTTTTTTTTTGGTCTGCCGGTTTTATCAGTTGCTGAAGGGACGCTGGTCTCCAACGATGAATGTGTCCCCTTTTAGTCCATGTGGTTTTTCTTCATGAATTTTTGAACTCGGTAGTTTGTGATACACACTGTTAGGTGTTGTCTCTTCTTGATGAACTGGCCCTTTTATCATTACGTGATGTCCCTCTTTAGCTCCGGGACTATATTTTGTACCAAAAGCACCCCTGGTTGGAAACCGCTGCTCTAAGGATCACTGTGTTTGTACATAATTTATCACCGTCTGCTCGTACCAATATTTTATCCCTTCAAGTGGAATGTGAAAACTTTACCTTTTAGGTTCTGCCTTTGTGACATAGACGTCTTAAATGCTACCGTTTGACAACCGTGCCGCTGTCGTTTTTGTTCTAAAAGCTGCTTTATTTCATGTTATCATATCTACATCCGTTTCCTTTTGATGAGTGTTTGCAAGGTCTGGCTTTTTTTCATCTTTTTACTCTGAAAGCACGCGCTGGGCCACCGCTCAGACAGGCTTCTCTGCTCAGAGAAAATTACATCTGGAGGAGCCGCCTGGGAAGTTGACGATCGAAATGCAATTATCTGCTGTCAAACTGGGGTTGGGGGAGGGGCGTGCACTCAGCACTCGCCCGTGCGCTGGCAT